AAAGATAAAAGTTAGAATAAAAGTTGCATCCAGAAAGTACTGTGATGTCAGTATCCAGTAAGCCATGGAATTTTGCTGAATTTTTTTTGTTTAGTTTGTAATTTACATGTACTAAATTTCTCACACTAGATAGATTTCCTCTAAGTTATTTTATTGAAAGTAAATGCTTGTCAGTAGTAAAAGCCCTTTTTATACCGGTCACTATTGTTGGGAGGTGCTGATTGTTTATCTTACACGTTTCTGTTTTGTCTTTTTCTCTTCTAGGTACTTGATGAAGAAGCAGAAGTTTTTATAGTCAAAATGTGGAGATTATTGATATATGAAACAGAAGCCAAGAAAATTGGTCTTGTGAAGTAAAACTCTCTTTACATTTAGAGTTCCATTTCAAATATCTTCTTTCCCATCCTTCAAAGGACTTTGAAAAAAATTTCTTTTTTGTCTTCAAAGACATTTGTGAGATCTGTAATTTTTTTAAAATGTAGAAAATGTGAATTTTTTTTTTTTGGGTCCTCCAGTTTGTTGATGCCCTGTGTACTCCCTTGGTTGTAAAGACATCTGAATCCTACCTTGGTTCTCTTTATACTCACCAGGTACAAATTACTGGTATGTTTTATAAGCCACAGCTACTGTACACAGTCTATCTGATATAATCTTGTTCTGCTGATTTGTTCCTTGTAAATATTAAAATGAATCCCCAATTCTTTTGCAGAATTGCACTTAATATTGAACTGTACTGTATAGGAACCAACATGAACAATTTTAATTGAAAGAATACCAGCCACATCTATTACCCTTTCCCCCCTTGATCAGAATTGGCAAGCTTTCATAAAGGCATGAAATTTAAAATTAGAGTGCAAAAATTAGATCATCCATTCCTGCTGTATCAGTATGAATGTGTTTGTGTGATTGTATGTATAAAAGTATTTTCCCTAATTTGCTTTGGAGGGCTCCCTTAAACATTTTCTAATTGAAAAGTATAATTTTAAAGGAAACATGGTATTGTGCCAATCCAAATGTCTGGGATAATTAGGTTAATAGTCTCCCAGAGCATAGTATTCTCTTATGGCAAGAAACAAACAGTCTGTTGAACAGGATGGGGTTTTTCTATTGATAGCTGGCTACTTCAGCCTGTCTTTTAAGGGAGTGTGAATCAGTGGTTACTTCAGCCTATCTTTTAAGGGAGTATGAATCATTGGTCTCCCTCCCCCCTAATTTCATTGTTCAGAAATGAGTCAGATCCTTAGATTCTGGAGAGCTTTATTTAATGCATTTTTGCACTGATTTGTTCTTAGTTTAATTTTGGTGTACCCCTTTGTTTAAAAAAAATTTGAAAAGCATAAATGAAAAAAACTTTTTAAAAATAAAATTAGGCAATTTTACAGATGAGGAAAGTTTGACAAAGTACAATAGAATTTCAGCATGGCATTTTAAAGAAGTTTACATCTTATTTCTAAGGATAAGGTAAATCATTTAAGGCAGTTACCACTAATTTTTTTATTTCATTTTTGTTTTATAAAGGCTTTATAGCTTGTATATGTATATGCAAGCACAACACCTTGTTTACCTGTGCTCATCAAAGTTTAAAAATACATTGATGGTGTTAGAGAACATGTGGGGCTTTCTTTATTGTAGATAAGAACTTCACCAGGGAGCAAAATTAACTGAAAATGTAACAAGTTTTAAACAGTTCTAGACACAAAGTAGGTGCAGCTATTCCATGTCTGAATATTTATTTAAAAGAAAGATAAAGATTGGGAATAGGAAGATAAAGCATAACTGAGCTTGAGTTACTAGATTTTTTTACATCTTAAGAGGACATTTGAAAACACTGTTCTTAACTTTGGACCATGACATGGTTCCATTATGTAAATATTTCAAATATTAAAAATGTATATATTTGATCTCGGGGACTCATTCTTTCAGAGTCTTATTAAATAAGTGGCATCCTGTTGTAATTGTGCGGTGCATACTAGAAACTTGAAAATATGGGCTGAATTGATTGCTCTGAGTATTAATAACGGTGAGAGGCCATTTACCTTATTTTGGATTAATGTATATGTCTATGGAGATATCCCCTTTTAGTATTATATTTTAAATTCTGATTTCTCAAGGGAAATTTCCGAAACATGCTCCTTGCCATTTACAAATTTGTTTACTAGCCTTTTCTCAGATTTACCCTCAGCCTAACACCTTGTTTGAGCTTTATTATGCCTATCTTCTCTTACCATATTACTACTTCTAAGGCATCAATATATGAGGTCGTTTTTATTTAGTCAACATTGGCATTAATTTCCTTCCTCCTGCTCTTTCATTATATTTATCTGAAACCCTTGGGGATACATACCATGTATTGCATAACAACTCCAGAGAGATTTGCCTCAATCCAATGTGTTAAAGACCATTACAGTAATAGTTTAATGTCAATTCAAGTCAGGTTTTGCCACCAAGCTTAAAATTTAAGGTTTTCAGTTTCTGGTTTTTCAGATTTACTTATAAAGAATTGGACATGTAGCCTGGCCGGTGTGATCCAGAAGATTAGATTGCAGTGTGGTTCAGTTTCCTGTCAGGGCACATGCCTGGGTTACGGGCTCAATCTCCAGTGAGGGGCATGCGGGAGGCAGCCAATGACTCTCATCATTGATGTTTCTATCTCTTTCCCTTTCCCTTCCTCTCTGAAGTCAATAAAGACATTAAAAAAAAAAAAAGAATTGGACATGTATAAACTGCTGCGGTATTCTAGTGTCTGGGAGAATATACGTAAGATTTCTACTAAATTGCTTGAGTTTTCTGGGTGGTCTTTACCATTTGCCCATAGTTTAATTTCAGTTTGGAAACCTTGCTTAATTTGTACCACCCATTCCAGTTATAAAATTATAATGAAATTTTGGCAACCAATATGCTTTTTCCTCATTTGACCCTATAAATAAAATAATTTCAAATATGTATTATCTATTTACAGGAGGGAAGATAAATTATTTGAAAGGTTTTTTTGTTTTGTGTTTTAATATAGAGGAAGGGAGAAGAAAGAGAAACATTGTTTGGTTGCCTCCCTTAGGCATACTGACCAGGGACCAGACCTGCAACCTGGGCATGTTCCCCAACTGGGAATCGAACCAGCGACCTTTCAGTGCACAGGACGACAGGCTGAATCTTTTAAAAAAAATCAAACTTTAATGTGCACGTGAATCACCTGGTGGAATTTTGTTAAAATGCAGATTGATTTAGTAGGGCTAGGGTGGGGTTGAGGTGGTTGATGATGCCAATGCTAACAGATCCAAGGACTACACTTTGATTAGCAGTTTAAGGTATTTACCCAGTACTAGTATTTTATCCTAACAGTACATAAATACAGCTTAATTTTCTTTTTAAGTAGATTTTAAGGAGAAAAACATTTTTGAGGCAAATAAACATACCTCTTCTTTATGTTCATGAATGTAATCTATCCAAAAATAATGCCTGAGAACAATATTATAGGCTTTATTCCTAGCCAGTCCCAGAATATTTCCTCAGATAACTTTATGCTGTTAACTCTGAATCTTGTCATAGTGCTTTCTGATAAACTTTATGTAATAGTAGAGTCTAACGATTACTTTGTGGAGAGTGCTGTTTCAGGTACTTATCAGGCACAAATACTGGATATGGTGGACAAAGTGAGAAAACTGAGCTTGAGAGTCAAATTGGACTAAACACTTAGCTTTTTCTTTCAGTAAAAAATTTTTAATTCGAATAAATGTAAGCAGGTATACTAATGTGTATGTGAGGTTATTTACCCAGCTCTTTCTAATTAGTTCAATGTATGTTTCCACTTCTGTCCAAAAACTGCTGAAAGGTTTTATGTCAAAATGGTTACAGATTTTTCCAGGTCATATTTTAGCGTAATAGTACAAAATTAAGAAATAGTTTTTGCTCAGCAAAAGATGGTCAAATTGATTTGTGAATACTAATGGATATAAAGGATCTGAGGAGGAATCCCAAATAGGCAAAGAGAGACAGTCTAGGTGTCAAGAAGAAAACTGGGGAATTCACATATGTACTTCAAACCCAGGAACTGTTACTGGTAATTCGTATTGTAGACCAAAGTGAGCTTATAATTTTTGATAAACTGGTAGATCTTTAAAAATGTGGTTATGTTAAATTATTGGAATATTTATTTGCATTTGAATGCTTATATTTTCATCTTTATTTGACAGATCTTTACCTTTCAATTTATTACATGACTCATACGAAGTCCAAATTAGGAATGGCAATCTAAAATGCCCAGGAAGGAAAGATAATTTCTATAAAAAAATGAATAAAAATTCTTCTCAAACCATGTTTGAATTAAATGACACTGAAGTCTGCCACATCATGTATTAGTTGGGTCGATGACTCTTGTGCATGGCGTGGTAGCTGGCCGCTGAGCAACTCATTGTGTGCCAAATACTCAGGTTTCTGGGTTACAAAAATAAGATTTTCTGCTCTGGAAGCTTACCGTTTAGAAAGACTGGTTCTTAAATTTGGATTCCAAGAATCCCAGACGACGTTTGTTTAAAATGCGGTTTCTCTGGTTCACTCCACTCACCAGAAGTTTTAATTCAATGAGGAAGAGGGTAGAAGGCACAGGTATTTAGTTTAATTAGCATCCTTTTGGTTGTGGTGCGGCTGACTCACATTGAGAAACACTTGTACAAAATAGGTAATACAGAGACATGAAAAAAACATTAGGTTTAAGATGCCGCAAGTTGGCGGGGAGAAGCACACGCTGGGCTCCGCTTATGTAGAAGCTTTGGTCCGGCTCAAGACCTGTCAGATCCGCACGCCCGCACTCGGCGAGTTCGTCCGGGTGAGGCAAGTCCCCCGCACTGCTCGGCCACACCACCGGAAGCCCCACCCCTTTCCTCCGGTCCCGGCCGTGCCCCCGCTAGGTCCCACCCCTCCGCCTGCAGGCTGGACGCCAACGACTCCAGAGCCGGAAGTGACGAAGCGGCGAAGCCTTTTGGGCGGGGCCTGCGCCAGGCAGCTCCTGGGGCCGAGATTTCACATCGGAAACAAAACAGCCACTGCTCGCGGAGGGACCTCGGCTACGGGCCGTCGTGGGCGGCGGCGGAGAGGACGCAGTAGGTGTGTGATGGGAGTCGGGGGAAAGAGGAAGGCGCCCCTCACCCATTGTCGGCAGGGGCGGCCGCCGGCTTGGTCCGGCCCTTCGTCGCCGTCCGGGCCGCGGAGCGGGCGTCCTCGAGGATGAGGAGCGGGGCGCGGCCGGGCGGGGACACTGGAACCCCGTGTGGGGGGTAAAGAGGGGTGCCCGTTTGTCGGGTTCCGGGCGCGGCGTGCGGTCCGGTTGCGGGGAGAGTACCTCTCGGAGCTTTGGTCCGGAAGTGCTGGTTTCCCGAACGCATCTCAGGTGCAGGTGCCCTGGGCCGGGATTGGCCGTCTCGGCTGGAGTGGAGCAGGAGAAAGAGGAAGCGCCTTGCCCCGAGCCTGGTTGAGCAACTGGTGAAACTCCGCGCCTCATGCAGAGTGTCCTTGTCCAGGGGAAGCGAGTGGCACTCACGGCTCCGTGCCTTAGGTCTGAGACATCCGAGGCGGAAAACGGGGTCTGATGCGTTTGCCTTGATGGGAACTGTCACCAGCCGTGTACGTCCGATGCTTCATGAGCCTTAGATGTCTGCGTTTTCTTCCCGCTCAGATTCTTTTCCTTTTGTAGGAAAGTAACAATGAATTTTAAAGCATCGTTTGTCTACTTTGAACAAGATGAATAAAGTATTCAAGGTTTACTGTGGGAGATAGGCGTAGTGTGTAAATAACTATGGCAGAGCGCACTAAAAGTCACAACATGCGTTGAAGTTTGAGGCAGGTAGAGATCACGTCTGTTTAAGGGAATCTTCTTATTTCAGTTATCTTTTGCAATGGAAAGGTTTTCACCCTGGGAGTTGAAATGGGGAGGACGTTGTAATCACAGGGTGTACTGCCAGCAGGTGCCCTCTGGATCTTGTGTGTCTAGTGATCCACTCTGAACATTAAATGACTGTTATGAAGGAAAACAGGAAAGTAGATTGGAGCCTATTGCAGTCACCTGCAAANGATAAAACAGGAAAGTAGATTGGAGCCTATTGCAGTCACCTGCAAACGCCTATTTCAGTTCTTAACACATTTTTAGAGTTCAGCCAACTTAAGCCCCATCCCCACCTATGTTTAATAACCCTTTTAACAATGAAAATAGAAGTCTATTAAGTGCATGGATTCTTACCCCACCTCTCCTCTCCCTCCCCTAAAGATAGATGGTAGAAGAACCATCTATCATCTGGTTTTCCATTCTTCTACTCCTGGTTCTTGGGTACACAATTCCCACACTTTTGGGTATACTTTCCTCTGAATGGGCACCATTTACTGCTGGATTTTAAGTTAATGGCTGCTACTAGTCATAGACTGCTGCATGAATTTCCATTTGTTCTCAGGAGAACCTGAGAATTGGAATTGGTCTCTAAGAATCATCATAGGAAAGGTATGTGTCTGTTACCAAAGCTTAAATAGTTCTTTTCCTCCCTCTCGTCCAGGTTCCCTTTGCTAGTGCTCTCCCACTGTTGTATCAGATTGTAGGGAGAGACTTCTTTCCGATATATTCTGAAAACCCCCTAACACTGTTTCTCCTTCGTATGATGGATGTCACGCAGATTTGAACGGTGATTTGAAAGTGTGACGTTGTGGTCAGAGCTTTGCTTTAGATACATTAATCTGGTAGCTGGGGCTAGAATGGATAAGAGAATTGAGGTGACTTTGCATAATTAAACGAGATATAATGAGAGTTTGATCTTCAGTGGCGGCAGAGGCTTAGAAAGGAGGAAAAACGTGAACAGGACATGGCAGCCAATGGGGGAGACCATCGCAAAAATAAGGACGTTAGGAGCCAAGCACCATTCTAGAGAGGAAGATGAGGAAGTGTTTTGGAAGTATCCCTTTGAGGTGCCAATAGATAAAAATGTGCTTTGGCCAGGCTGCAGCTGTAAACATGAGAGTCACTTAAATAGACTTGCCAGTTGACGCTGAAGCAGTGGATGAGACACCTAAGGAAAGGAAGGGAACAGGAGACCCAGACAGACCCTCAGGAACACTTATACTGAGGTGGTGGAAGAAGAGTGAGAACCAACCAGCTGAGGAGAATGGAGTGGCGAGAGGAAAACCTCTTTAGTGCAGTGTCAGAAAAGTTGAGGAAGGGAGGGAAGCTGCAGGAAGGAAAGGGTTGTCAGGGATTTTCAGTAGTAGGCCTGGTGTTGCAGAAAGAACTGAAGATTTAGAACACCGCTGTCCCATAAAAATGTAATGTGAGCTATAAATGTTAATTTTAAATTTTCTATAAAGAAATTTTTTAAAGGTAGAAATAGTTAAAATTAATTTGAATAATATATTTTGTGTAATTCATCACATCTCAAATATTTTAATTTCAAAATGTAATTAATATAAAAAGATACTTGTCTGTCTTTTCCTCTAGGTAGTAAGCTCTTTAAGTAAACAGAAACATTATCTGATTTAGTAGCATCCCTAGCACCTATCACAGTGCCTGGGTATGTAGAAGAAACCCAGTAAGTGTTGATTAAAGGGTATAATGTTTGGTTTTCACAGTTCTTAAGTTTCTTAAGTTAATCTAAAAGCAAAAGAGAGAATGCACCCTGGCCAATTTTGCTCAGTGGTTAGAGCGTTGGCGCAGGGACTGAAGGATCTCGGGTTCAATTCCGGCCAAGGGCACATACCTCAGTTGCAGGCACCATCCCGGTCTGGGCGTGAGCAGGAGGCAACCAATCGATGTGTCTCTCTCACATCAGTGTGTTCCCCCTCCCTCTTCTCTTCTCTCCGTCTCCCTCTCCGTCTCCGTCTCCGTCTCCCTCTCCCTCTCCCTCTCCCTCTCCCTCTCCCTCTCCCTCTC